GGAACATGAATCAAATATGCACTTTTATTCATTTACAATAAACTCAAAAAGTACATCATTCTGATTGAAGCTAAGGGCATACAAAACTGTCTAACGCATACCAACTGAGCCACCCCTCTAGAGCAAACCATCACTCTAGTTCTGATCTTATAAATGAGATTACAAAGGCTAATAGGTTTTTAGGTTCTCTATATTCTAAGGGTATGTTTGGTTCTAAAGAATAGAGACACAAAATCGGAATCAGAATGGTCCATTCCAATTCCAACCGTTTGGTTGTGTGTAATCGGAATTAGATTCCCACTCCAGGCTAAATAGTATTCCCCCATTTAAGGGAATGGCCATTCCCTACCCACCCTCTCAGAATCAGATTTCTATTCTAGTTGATTAAAACAAGAAAATGAAAATGACAAGAAAAAATCCTCAAACCTCTGATTCCAAGTTTCCAATCCTCTTTCTCATCTCTCTTCACTCCCTCCTTCAAACCCATCAATAGTTCGACAGCTGAACTCTGAAGATCTAACCTGAACTACTCCCAACCAGGTAAGTGATCATGGATCTCTCTCTCCCTCTTTCTCTTTTCTCTTTCTTCTAGGAAATGAAAAGTAAAAACCCTATTATAGTGCTTCCATTTTTGCGTCTTGAGTCGAGTTTGGAATTGAGCTTTCATGGCAACGACAACAGGAGGGTATGAAGGAGTAGGTGGGAAATTCTAGAAGAAGCCGTTTTGGAGAGTCACATCGACGCCTTATGATAGGCCGACAAGCGTTGTCCCGAACCCCATAGACGTGGGGAGAAGAGGGTGGTTGTCAAAACTTGTTGGTCCATCTTCAAGGATTATCACGAAAAGTGCATAGTTATTCTTCTTGTCTGTGTTCCACAAGGATCTCCCTGCTCCCTCGCCCATTTCTGGTTTAATTGTCCTGCATTTCTTTGATCACATGCTTGTTCTTGTTTGTTTCTGATGCTTCTGCACGACTCAGTGGTTTCGTACTTATCATTCGAGAGTGTTTGGATTGGATTAATTAGATCCAATCTGATCCATTTTAATTTAAATGGATTGGTTTGGGTTTGGTTTGTACTTGATTTGGATTGGATTGTATTAGATCCCATCCATTTATAAATAGACACAAGTTGGATTGGATTGGACCAAACCTGGTTTAGTTAATATCCGTATCTATCTCTTTACATGTTAATTGGATTGTATTGGACTTGAAATTTTTATAGATTTTTTATTAGGGGCAAAATTAGAAATCATGGTTGATTCTGATTGCAGCCTCTTCATGAACCAAACAAGTAGGGGGAATAGACCATTCCGACTCTGATTCCAAGGGATTCCCATTCCGATTCCAATCACAAACCAAACAAACCCTAATTCATTCTAGACTTTAAGATTAAGTTAGGTTCTTTCATCATTTTCTCATGGTGAAAACATGCCTTGATCTTAGTAATCACACTTCCATGAACAATGTCCCAAAACCTTTTGAAAAGATAGCATTGAGTTGGGGGTGGATTCAAACTGAATTGAGCCAAATATTGAGCTCAACTTGCCAGTATAGTATAAGGCTCAATTTGAGTCAGATTCTTGAGCTCGAGTTCGGCTTGAGTAAAAAGCTCATAAGCTTGAACTCGATTGTAAGCCAAATGTTTTATAAAAACAAAATATTATATATATAATTATTTTTTATCTAACATGTAAAAATTAAGAATTATAAAATCTAGTCATTATTATAATATATAAAAAATAAAAATATTATATATAACAATTTTATTATATATTTATATTATTTTCTATAAGACTTTTTACAAAAAAATAAAAAGTTTCACTTATTGGAAAGATTGGTGATGTTTTAGAAAAAAATGTTCATATTTGTGAGCTTAGAAAATAAAATTTATCTTTGGACAAAATTACCCTTTTCTTCCCTTCAAAGATTTTTGGGTGATGTTTAACCATTATCATGTTGTTGTTAAAATGGCTTTGCTAACCATCCGATAAGAGAATAAAAGGACCAATCATCTTAGATCAAAGAAAGGGAAGATCCTGCACTCACCAGCCCAAGGGCCCTACTCCGTTCCATTGCCTAGACTATCCGTCGTGATGCACCTCTTGGACTAAAAGGTGGGTGGGATTGCAACACGGAGGACTAGCAAAAGTTTTGCCAAGCTTGGTTAGTGACCATTTAGCTTTTTTTTTTTTTTTTTTTTGAGTAAACTCAATTTCATTGTAATAATCATCCTAGGGTTCAAAGTCAAAAACGTCAATACCTAAGAACTTGGACTTCACCGATCAATGGCTACAATCTGTAATAGTTGCAGCAACTCTTACTCGACTCATGACCACCCCTACTTGCTAGAATATACCCTATAGTTTCATGGATTTATTTAAACATGTCTTATAGTTTTCATTTTGCTAAAATACCCCTATAATTGTAAATAACCTTCCACTAAGAAGTGTTTGTTTTGTTATCTAAAAATAGTAACATGATCACCTAAATTGAGAGGAAAATGTTTAATGGCATGGCCTTGTGATTGTTTATTCTAGAAGTACCTCTAGCACTTCTTCATATATAAGATAAAATTGACTAAATAGAGTGGTTGCTCGTATCTTATTAGGGGCAAAAATGGTATTTTTATTTTTATTTTCTTTTGATTAAATTATTCAAATAGACATTAGGGTCAAAACTGCCATTTTCCAATGTCATCTAATGGAAAGTCGATAGTAAATCCATTATAAATTATAGGGGTTGTTTTAATAAAATGCAAACTATAGAGTAGGTTTTAATAAATCCATAAAATTATAAGGGTGTTTTTATAAATAACCCTTAAAAGGTGATTTCATACGTTAACTTCAGCGGTTCAGCCTCAATTTCTCATAGCATCCCGTACAACGCACGGTTCCAACTAGTGAAAAGTGAAAAACAAAAGAGGCGGGAAAAAAGAACAGACAGAACCAGAAGGTCCAGAACCAAAGATTGGACACTGGATGATTGGAACAAGAGACTGAGAAGGATGAGAGGAGGAGCCGGTGGGCGGCGACGCCCAAAGGACTCTCTGCAAGATCGATTTCCGGTCGATACTCGCCAGTTAAGCACCATCCGAAACCGAGATTCTGACGCCAGTTACTGCAGCAGCCGCCCCTCCAACTCCTCCATTGGGATCGGCCGCGCCCCCGCCGGCCCCATCACCGATCGCGCCCATCAGGCCTCCGCCATCCGCGTCATCAACGCCTACCTCGCCTCTCAATCCTGCTCCACCGTCATCAAACCCCCTCTCCCCTCTGCCAAAGACATCACTGACACCATTCGCTTTATCTTCACTCGCCTCGACTGGCCCTCTTTCAAACTCGAGGAAGATCTTCCCCTTCTCCTCAAATACCTTAATTGCCCCTTCAAACTCAACAAATCTGCCCTCAAAGCCCCCGGAACCCCTCACTCCTGGCCTTCCCTTCTCGCCGTCATTCACTGGCTCGTCGAGTTTGCTCTCTACAACGATCACATCGCGTCTTCTCCGACAACCACGACACATTCACTCTTCCGAGATAATAGGGTTCTTACTCACATCGTAAACAGTTATTCGCTCTACATCCGCGGCGACGATGAGGSTGTTGAAGCTCTCGACAATGAATTCAATAGGCAAATGGAACAAGAGAGTGATGCTGTGGCTGAGAAAGTTAAGTCGTTGGAGAAGGAAGTTGCTGATCTTGAAGCTCAGCTTGAAGCATTGAGATCGGGGCCGTCCGAGTGGGAGGTGCTCGAGAAAGATAAATCTATGCTGGAGAAGGATGTTCAGAAGTTTCACACTATTATTGAGGAGCTTACTAACGCAATTGTGATGGTGGAGAAGACGCTGAAGGAGAAGGAGAAGGAGTTGGACGCCAAGGTTCAGGAGCAGCAGAGGATTTCTGAGGAGAATGAGGAGCTGAAGAAGAGGATTGATGCGCAGACTGTGAATGCGAGGGATGCGGAGAGGATGAAGAGAGAGCTCCAGGCTGTGGAAAGAGATATTGTGGAGACAGAGCTTGCGAGGAAYGCTTGGGAAGAGAAGTCGTGGGACCTTGATGTCACTATAGGACATAAGCTTAAGGAGCTTGAGAGCCTCTCAATTGAATGCAATCAGGCTCTTAGGAGGTGAGTTGCTGAGATTTGCTTGATGCTTTGCATTTTGAATTGTTTTTGCCAATTAATCTGTAACTAGTGTGCTGGAGCTAAGTCAATTATCTGCTTTAGAATGGTGTATTGCTTCATGAKCTAAATAGGTCAGAAATCATTTTAGTTTTAATTTTATAATCGAAGCATCTTGCCTTGTGGGTTTTTTAAGTCTTATTTGAAATTTTATTCTATCATAGTTTTTAGGACTGGTTTATTCCTTCTGTAGAATATAACAGGAATGCTTTTGTTAAAATTTATTTTTGAAATTGTTGCACCAGCATAAAAACAAACACAAGTTCTTGAATTGTGTTTTTGTTTTGAAAATAAAAAAAACTAGTTTTTTTTTTCAAATAAAAACAATTCACATTTGTAAAACAATCAAATGATGGTTTTTAAAACAGAAACAGATTTTGTAGTAAAGATATTACATAATTTATGTAACATGATATTAAATAACCAGATGAAAACATAATCTTTAAATCAGAAGTTTAAGGGCATGTTTTGGTTGGTGATGCCAACTGGCTCAGTTGGTAAAGTCTCTCTGGTTGTGGTTGAGACTTTGGGAACAAATCCTACTGACACCAGGGTTGGGGGGTTATGGGTAGGGGGACGGGCTACCCTCTGTGGTGTAGCCACATGAATAAAAGCATATTTTGGTTCTAATTTTTGAAACGAAAAGGGCATATGTAATGAAGAACATGTTTTCTGTATTTTTTTGATTTTGAGAACCAAATTGTTTTCATATCAGATGGTTTTGATTTGTTTTTGAAACTCACAACAAGAAAACAATTCACATTGAAGAACACTCCCTTCAATAACTACAACATGGTTTCCTTTTTGTCTTTTCTAGGATAAAGCTTGGAGTTAATTATCAATATGTGCTGAATCCCAAGGGATCAACCCCTGCTGAGGTGTTGGGAATTGACTACAAAGCAACACTTAAACCTTCCCTTGATGAATTTATGGATAACATAAAGAAAAGCTCCAAGGCAAAGTTAGAGGAATTGATTTCTCTTCAACAACAGTCTGTGGAAAATGCTTCTAAGATTGAGAGCAAAAGAAATCGCCTTGCAGCCCTTCAATCTAGGATTGATGAGGTATGTTTTTGGGATTCCCATACAATAGGGCATGATGTTTATTGGTTGATGTCATGAAAAATCTCCATTTTTTCTCGCATTCTTTTTAATAGATGCTCAAATTTGTTTTGGTTGTATATTCTAGAACCAAAAAAAAAATTGCAGGTATAACCACCTTCTATCTTTTATTAAGGCTGCAGCAGTTAACATGATCTGTCTGGTTCCAACAATATTGAATTTTTTTAATCTAGACTAGCAATAGGTGTTTTTGTGTTTATACCAAAACATGTTTCTTGTTATGTTTGGATAGGACCAAAACATTTTTCTTAGTGTTTGATTCAGATATTGATACACCATTGTAAGATCAATACGATTAGTCATGAGGGGAGATGGTCGCCGCTGAGGGGAGATAGGGACTGTGAACTCTGAGGAAGGAAGAAAGGGGGAGAGCTCAAATGTTTTGAAGAGGGTACCCCAAAAAACTCCTTGGGGAAGGAGGTGGGAAGCAGAGAATTGGTATAGCCGAGGAGGGCCTGATGTGATAACCAGGAAAAACTTTTCCTACAGCAAAGCAGTGGCTGTTGGAGCTTGGCCGAAATATGGTGCAACAGAACTGAAAAGTTGGAACGATAATCTGGTGGTTATCACAGATCAACAAGGGGTGGAAGATAGAAGAGAGTTCCTAAGAGGCTGCCTTATGGGGAGATTCCGGTGGAGAATAGAGATTAGAGAAGTAGAGGACTGGGTGAAGAGAAAGTGGTGAGAGGTGGGAGGTGTAAAGGTAAAGAAAATGGCGGACAAACTTTTTCTGTTCATTTTCCTGTTGAAAGCTGAAGCCGAATGGATCCTTAGAAATGGCCCGTGGCAATTGGAAAGAAATCAGCTACTACTCGATTGGTGGGGGGCAAGCGCTGGCTGTTTCTATCCGGAATCAGATTCAGATTCTGTCCATAACAGTCCAACCTCGGTAAGGATTTATGGTCTCCCCCTAATCTTCTGGTGCCCAAGCGTGATTAGAGCTATCAGAGATAGGTGTGGGGGGTTTCTAGAAACAGACGATTCTCCATCGGAGCTAGCCACCTGTGAGTGGGTCAGGATGAAGGTGTGTGGTGGTGAAAATATACCAGAGAAAGTAGAAGTTGCAGCGGTTATCTTCACAATTAGAGTCTGGTCGGAGATCCTCCCAACTCCTAGAAGATGGAACTTATCGAAATTGGGAGGGAAACAGAGGACTCCAAAACTGTTGTACTTTTAGATGTGGAGGAGAGTCAATCTTCAAGAGAAAATGCGAGAGAAGTGACGCTCAGCTGCCCTATGTCAATATGAGGTAGGTTGCAGAAGAAGTGGGCCCAGTTTTAGAGGAGTTAGGATTGAAGAGAGTTCAGGCAAAATCTGTTTTTGATAATTTGGCAGTTGAGGAATTAAAGTGGATACAAAGAGCTAAGACAATCTGGCTTAAAGCAGGGGACAGGAACACTCACTATTTCCATAAGATGGCAAATGCTAGAATCAGAAATTCTTCAGTTAGCAAACTAATTTGGGATGATAAGGTTGGAGAATCTGTTGCAGAAATCAAAGTAATTGCAGCTTCCTTTTGTAAAAATCTTTATAAGGAGAATTGGAAGTGTAGACCTCTCCCCTTAAATCTCCCCTTTAAGAGGTTGAGTGAAGATCAAAGAAGCTCCCTTGAAAG